GGAAACATCCAATCAATTCTAGCAAAATGGTAAGCTATCCTTTGATTTCACTTAAGAAATAAAACTTATAGGTTTTTTTTTTTCCCCTTAATTTTTTTTTTAGAGAAGGATACTCAAAAACCTGATATATCTAGACAAGTAGAAAAAAACATTTTAAGTCGTCATCCAGAGACAGTCACTGTATATGGTACATATTCTTACAGTGTTCCCTCTAAACTCATTCAACAAATATTTATATACTGATTGATGCTGTATGACAGGCACTTGGGATACAAATGGAAGTAAAAACAAATCATTTCAGTCATTGTGGAGCTTACTGGGTAATATTAGAAATATGACTATACAGGCCGGGCGCGGTGGCTCAAGCCTGTAATCCCAGCACTTTGGGAGGCCGAGGCGGGTGGATCACGAGGTCAAGAGATCGAGACCATCCTGGTCAACATGGTGAAACCCTGTCTCTACTAAAAATACAAAAAATTAGCTGGGCATGGTGGTGCGTGCCTGTAATCCCAGCTACTCAGGAGGCTGAGGCAGGAGAATTGCCTGAACCCAGGAGGCGGAGGTTGCGGTGAGCCGAGATCGTGCCATTGCACTCTACCCTGGGTAACATGAGTGAAAATCTGTCTCTAAAAAAAAAAAAAAAAAAAGAAAAGAAATATGACTATACATCTGGAAGGCCTAAAGCAAGACACTAAAACACTATTAATGCTGAGAAACTAACTTTAAAACGGCTTTCACAAAAGAATTCACATTTTTGAAATAAGCTAAACATGTACATGGAATCTGTGGAACTCTTATAACAGCCAAACAATAACAAGTTAGAAAGTATAAAAAGAGAACTCAGTCACAATAGCATCAATACGTAAAGACTTAAAGGAAATACTTTAATGAGAAAATTATCATCTACATAAAAATGCTAAGATAGACAAGCCGGCACAGTGGCTCACGCCTATAATCCCAGCACTTTGGAAGGCCAGGGTGGGCAGATCATGAGGTCAGAAGATTGAGACCATCCTGGCTAAAAAGGTGAAACCCCATCTCTACTAAAAATACAAAAAAAAAAGCCAGCTGTGGTGGCATGTGCCTGTAGTCCCAGCTACTTGGGAGGCTGAGGCATGAGGATCACTTGAACCCAGGAGGCGGAGGTTGCAGTGAGCCAAGATCACCACACCGCACTCCAGCAAAAATAAAATGTTACAACCGTGTCAAACATTCCAAAATGTGTAAGTTTATTATGAAGGGCAATAAAAATCCCACAAGGCTTTTTGGAACCAAACAAAATGATTCTGTCAGCAAAAATTAACAGACTCAATTTTTTATTTTCTAAATTGATTTTCTGAATTTTTATTTGCAAACTAGGTAGAAGAGTGTGAACTCAAGACCTGTCACACAAACCACTACAGGATAGACTAATTCAAAAATGAATCTAATATGACATATAAAGTAATTTAATGTTAGAAGGAGGATGGGAAGAGGAAATTTTCAATAAACAGTGTTGCAATAACTGGTCAGCAATCTGATACCCCCTACATTAACTACAGGTATACTTAAATAAACTTTTTAGAGAAAAACAGACAATAGAAAGAACTAAAAGTATTTATGAAAGTTCTAAAGAGGTGAGAGTTACCTAAGTTTACAAACTGCAGGAAAAGTCAAAAAGGAAACAAAAACTTAAAATACATAAACTGAAACATCTAGTTAGTTTTTAATAGGCTATCTGTAGGCAAAACATAAATAAGAGACTAGAAAAAAAAATCTAAAGTACGCAGGACAATGAAGTATTTTATTATATTCAGAAACAGTACTAACAAAATTTGTAAATCTTTGATGGCCAAGCAGGACAAGGTTATGAGCAGACCATGACCTTGAGCAGACTGCAAAATGTCAAGTTTCCTAGAAAATGAGATGGAATGCCAAAGGGTATGTACATTTAAAATTTTGTACATATGCTACCAAATTATGTACATATGCTGCCAAACTGGTCTGACAAAAAGGCTATACTATTTACATTCCCACCTACAGTGTATGAGAATCTGGTTTCCCATGCTCTCATATGTATACCATTATTGAACTTTAATTTTTGTCAATCTGACAGGCAAAAAAAAAAAAAAAATCATTTATTTTAATGTGGATTTCCCTAAGGTTAGCCATCTTTACAGATATTTATTGGCACTAGTATATTTTCCTTGAAGAAATGAACTGTTTTTTGCTCAGTTTTCTATGTCATTACAACATTTTTGATTTACAGGTATTCTATTTTTTTTTTTTTTTTTTTTTTTTTGAGATGGAGTCTCTCTCTGCCACCCAGGCTGAAGTGCAATGGCACAATCTAGGCTCAATGTCACCTTTGCCTTCCTGGTTCAAGCAATTCTCCTGCCTTAGCCTCCCGAGTAGCCGGGGTTACAGGTGCCCGCCACTATGCCTAGCTAATTTTTGTATTTTTAGTAGAGATGGGGTTTTGCCATGTTAATCATGCTGGTCTCGAACTCCTGACCTCAGGTGATCTGACCACCTCTGCTTCCCAAAGTGTTGGGACTACAGGTGTAAGCCACCGCGCCCGGACTCCTCTTATAAATCTTTCAGTCCTCAACTTCATAATACAAAGACGTTATAATTCTAATAAAAGACCTATTAGCATTTGCAATCTGCGAAACTTGGATTACGAGTTTCATACGATTAAATACAATGCTTCCAAAATGAATGTGAATGTCACACAGAATCAATGTCAGAGTTTTAATGTTAAATATAACAACACAAAGTATCCAAACATTAGCCTGGACAAATAATTCCAAATGATAATCAAGTCCCTGGAATATAATGTAGAGTTTGATTGCTGCTGGAATGAGCAGAGCAAGCAGGGCAGCATTCTTAAGAAATGAGGTCTAGACAACAGTCTTCTTTTGTACTAAATCACGCCCTCCTCGGTTAAGCAAAATTATAACTCTAATCTGAGCATGCCATTCTTCAGACTAATAGCTCAAAATTACATACAAGATAATCTGGCTGCCGTAGCCTACTTTGTACCATTCTCTATGCCCTGGCTCAGGGAAGCAACACAAATGGTCAATTTATTCAGTAAGTCACTGACCAAAAAATATTTCTCTTAACTCCACCTAAAGTAACAGCAAACTGTAATACATAAGGTGGTCTCTGTTAAAGGCACTTCTTTTCTTTTCTTTTGACATAGGCTCTTGCTCTATAACCCAAGCTGGCGTGCAGGGGCATGATCACAATGACCTCCCAAGCTCAAGTGATCCTCCCACTTCAGCTTCCCAAGTAGCTGGGACTACAGATGCACACCACCATCCCTGGCTAAATTTTTTTTAAAAATTTTTTTGTAGACACAGAATCTCACTATATTGCTCAGGCTGGTCTTGAACTCCTGGCCTCAAGCGATCCTCCCAAAGTGTTGAGATTACAGACATGAGCCAATTCACTCAGCCCAGTATTTTTTTTCTCAAAAACACATCATAGTTTTAGATTTGTTGCAGCCAGTTCATTCATAATCACTTGCTGTGGTTACATGTTGATAAAGTGATACACACGTACACACAAGCGCACACTAGACTTAGAGAAATATAAAAGGCAATGCCTAGACCTGAAATGTATTTATGCAGATTTATTAGATGGTACAATCAAATAAATATTTGTGTTATGCTTTAAGCTTTTAAGAAGACTCTTATATCTAAAATATAAGATACATATATAAACGAAATCCAACTGAGCTGGACTGCCAAATGTACTGAAAAAGGGCTACCACATGTTACGACAGGGCCTCACCCTGTTCGCCAGGCTGGTCTCGAACTCCTGGGTTCATGTGATCCACCTGCTGTGGCCTTCCAAAGTGCTGGGATCACAGGTGTGAACCACCATGCCCGGCCTAAATTCTCAACAGAAATAATAAAAGCCAGAAGATAACAGTGCTCAAAGGTTCTAAAGTATGATGGCTTAAAAAAAAAAAAATGTTAGGCCGGGCGCGGTGGCTCAAGCCTGTAATCCCAGCACTTTGGGAGGCCGAGGCGGGTGGATCACGAGGTCAAGAGATCGAGACCATCCTGGTCAACATGGTGAAACCCCGTCTCTACTAAAAATACAAAACATTAGCTGGGCATGGTGGCGCATGCCTGTAATCCCAGCTACTCAGGAGGCTGAGGCAGGAGAAT